GTTCGATCTTGTCGACATCTTGGTTTGACCGTGAGGTATTTTAGATTCGCATATTCATTTTTATGGATGTCATAATTATCTAATTCGTTTTTTTCCCTTAATGGTCGTTTTTCAATGATACCTCTACGTGCTAAGTGAGAGGCTCACAAAGGGTCACGTGCGTATTTATAATATGGTCGGCAGAGAATTATAGTAGACTTGGACCTTGAATGTATAGTTAAATGTATAGTTAGGCTCCGTTTGTTTCGCGAAAAATGAACTCCGTCGAAAAATATTTGCAAAAGAACTTATCATCAGGGAAAAAGATATTCATCTATGAGGGTCTCGGGCCCGGTCACCGAGGTCTCTGCAACGAGAATCGAGTTCCAGGGCTTGACCTTGAGAGACTTCGGCTTGGCCGCCGGGAGCTAGGGACCGAGCCCGGCTACCCCTAGGAATCGGGCACGAGAGTCACAAACTCGGGCCCAGCCATCAGGGTCTCAAGCATAGAAGCCGGGGACTCGGGCCCAATCAGCACCGAGGATCCGGATTCGCACTTGGGGGACCCGGGCATTGGCGACCCAAGTGCATGAGCCCGGCAGCCAGGGTCCCGAGCACTGGAGCTGGCATTTCGGGCATGGCCATCGAGGATCCAAGCACATGCTCCGAGGTCCCCATGCTAGCTTTGGGGGCAGGTCCAATCGTATTTTGGACATTGCCTTCAATTTTTAGAAAAACAAAATTACTTTTTAAAATTTAAACATAAGTTTTCCGCTGATTGCTGAAAGATTTTCCATTAATTCATTTTTTTTCTAAATGAACCAAATATTGAAAAACATGTTTTTCCGATGATAAATATTATACGAAACAAATAGACTCTTAAGATAAGTGATCCTAAAAGCCACGTATCTTTTAGCTTTAATCATTTAGTGTGTTCGAAGGCGAATCATTATCGCGATTAATTTATCGTCTCGTGCTCTGTTAATTTAATCTCGATTTAATTAGTTCATTGTTAAAACTAACATTAAACAAATCATTGTAAAAGTGCCCCTGTCCAGAGTAGAATCGAGAACCGACATTACGTGACCTATCCCTTTAGAATCGACACTATCGGTCCTATTCCATTAGAATCGGTTCCGAATTCCGATATGATAACCGACCCTGGAGGACCATGCTATCCCTACTTTTGGCAAAATTCTTCCTCTTTGATAGATTGCCCCCGTGGAGACGCGTTTTGCTTATTACGAATCACGAAAGCAACCGTTCGATAACGTCGTGAGCCTTACACTAGGAAAAGGCGGCAACCATGGAGAGTGACATGATGAGTCTTACCCAAAAAAGACGAGCTCAAACCATACTAAACTCTAATTTTTCTTTTAATAACACCGAAAGCCTATTAAGTTACGTAAGATTCGTGTTCATGAAAATACCTTACTAATCTCATAAACCGAGTTGAGGGTGCTTAAAAGTGCGTGCATGGAATATGAATCTTTACTTCAACCTTTTTGGCTTGTGTTATCATTCTTACATGCCGGTATCAACACCGGGATCCCTTGAACCTTCGAGAGCAATGTGAAGATCGACATCTAAAATTATTACAAACCCAGCAAAACCTTTTCGCAATCATTCGAAAATTAAAATCGGAATATATATATTTTTTTGTTCTTGTCGAAATACCTCGCATCGTATGCTTATGGGGTTATTGCAATCTTTATATACATGTAATCTTCCTCCACCTATCAGCTTAAACTTTTGAATTGGACCTTCTGCTCTAGTTTATTTCGCGCGTGCGTCCACCCAATTCGTCAAATTCCATGTGTCATTCCTAATCTGGCTCGCAAGCAAGAGGGAGCGTTGCAATATCTTACATCGCTTGATGATGGGTTGTACATACTCTTTACATACACGAGATCTATCTCTACCTATCATCAGTTTAAACTTTCGGATTGGACTTTCGAATAGTTCAAAGTCGAAAACAAGTCTTCTTTCTTTTTCTGTAACTTTTTTGGATGCCAAACTAGCTCGCGCCGTGTTCTCCGTGCTTGTTCCTTCGTGTAGAATATAAAAAGCATATCCCATTAAAGAGTTCCTCGTTACCAAACGAAACTCTCAAAAAAGTCGTCTAATTCAGCACGTCACTCCGCACTCAAATTCGTCCCCATCCTAATCCTAAAGCTGGGGGCAACACCTACTGAAACCGCGTGAGTTGGTTTGACTGGAGTCAACGTTGACCGTCGCTTTCCTTAAATTCTGACCATACACCGGCCGCCACGTCAGCCGCCGCGCGACCACGTAGATACCGCGAGTCCCGGATGCGATCTTCCTTGACCGTATTCGGAGCTAGTGGCGAGAAGATCCCGATGCATGTGAGCCCGACTAGGTTATGCAAGTCTCGCTGTTGGTGTATGGTTCATACTCTCCATCGATAGGAAGATATGGAGATTCCACTCCCCAGTGAGCGAGCGGGGGTCGCGGGGGCGGTGTTCTCGAGCCGCTTTTATAGTTTGAGCCCGAAAAAAGAAAGTTTCCTAATTCAATTAGGTTTCCTATTTTGAATATGTTTCGTAATTGGAGTAGGCTTCCCAGAAAAAAAACTTCTTATTTTGAATCAAATTATTGCCTTCTTTCTTTTGTAATTGAGGGATGTAACATAGAGGTGCGAGATATTAATTATACTTAAATCCTCATCTGGACGTAGCTTAGTTTAAGGGTGAGCCGGCCTCGTATCTCGAATTCTCTTTCTCCCTTTTATTCTTTATTTTTTTTTTCTGTGATTGTGCAGCGAATCCTAGCACTTGTATCGCTCGAGGCTCGTTTGACCCGAGGGGTTTACGTGCACTGAGGGCATTCGAGAACTCTTCGTGTGCGATGATTCGGCATGGAGAGCATGGTCAATCGACACGCGGGATGCGACGAATTTAGGGTTCGGCCTAGCCTAGCTATTTGACTAGAAGGAAGGATGTGCGATCCTCCGAATCCACGAGGGTGAGTTTGACATTCCGAAGTATCCTCCTTGAACGAGGGGAACATGTATCGATAGACCAATTAGGGCCAAAGCAAACTTTGTCAACATACCTCAATGATGTGTCAAAATATGTCACATGCCCATATGGAGCGCTTTTGCTTCCAATGGGGTCAAGGAATTTTTTTTGAATTTTTTGCCAACTACCTAAGATTTTTCGGTCTTGTGTAAAATTGAATATTTATTAAAATGATTTTGACGCCGCCAAAGCATTTGATTTTACAACCGAACTTGTCGTGTTCAAAATGCCAAAATTATAATGTGAAAATCGATTATCTCTTATGCAATTAGCATAGTGGTTAAGAATTCACCCGGATAAATGAGTTGTAGCTAACTCGAGAACTGATATCGAGTAGAGTTGAACTCAAATTTCCTAACACGTAAATGCTTCACCATACTTATAGAGTAATTGTATTTTTGTGTATGGTGATAGACAGATGTAATTCTTCCATGTGAAATAGGAGAGTGGATACCATCTTATTTGGAAAACTAGAAGTTGATTTATAAACTTTATCAATTAAAAGAATCGAGTTCAAGGTCCAAAGTATCATGTTGAGATGAGCACGAGAATATTACCAATTCAGTCATGAATCTACTGTGCAGGTGCCAATTTTAGTCCTAAACTTTTTAATTTTGTCAATGTAGTCCTAGATTTTTGCATGAAATTCCTATCATCCTTCCGGCCAATTGTCGCTGGAAATAGCTAACCTGATCCACATCAGTATGCCATGTAAGACGACCGGCGATGACTAGACACTACGTCAGCAATTTCCGGCGGCAATTAGCCAGAAGGATTATATTAAAATTTCATGCGAATGTTTAAGACTACATTGACAAAATTGAAAAATGTAAGACTGAATTGACATTCCTACGAGAGGTTGGGGACTGGTTGGGTAATTATGCCGACGAGTAGTGCTCGTGTTTGAGAAAGTTTGAACAGGAAATTATGTCTACTAGATCCGGCTGGATTAAACCCTTCGACATTATCGACCCCATCGAAAAATGTCCCTAACTCCAACCTCAGACTTAAAAATTCGAAAAATCTATCAAGCTGGTTTATATTATTCTAGCTAGTAATTAGGAGCTCGTGATTATATACACTTCGAACCATAGTGCTTGGAATATCTTTTCATCAACTTGAACAAAGCAATGTCTTAATGTCTAGGGATTACCTAATTGGCTCACGAGACACCATGAGACTCAAGAATAGTTAACAAAGTCTATCTAATCACGGACATGATATCAATTCATATGCAGACCACATCAGCCTAGTACTATTCAAGTATAGATAAGATGTTGCCATATACATTGAAATTTGGAATTTCAGACTTAGAAAATAATTAGTGAGATTGAAAAAGGAACAAAATATCCTCACTTCTCGAACGAACGAGAAAAACCCACCAACCTTTCCTCTCCGAACAAAAATACCCACTTGGTAACTTTTCCATCCGAGCAAGCTTATGTGCTGGTCGACATGACAAATGGTATGTCATGTACAAATTACACGTCATTTCGGAGAAAATTAGGGCGCGACTCGTACAAAATAACGTTGTTCTGCAGTTGCAAATTGAGCTACAGCTCGGATCCGCGACAAAGAAACGACGTCCTATGCACCCCGTCGCCTACTTTTCGCTCGGATGAGGTGTCGTTTGCACACACTTCGTCGCCATTCGCCACGCTGGCCGCCGCAGAAGCCTGTTTGGAGGGAAGAGCTAATGTGTCCACATCGGTGGCGGCGGCGATTCGTAGTGAAGATCAATCACAAAGCTTAAGCTTCGTCGGAGACATGATGGTCCGATGTCGGCGTTAAGCCAGGTTGGCACCGACGTCTGGAAGATGAAAAAGCGGTCTACGTTTGATGGTTCCTTCACAGCCACAACTTGCCATCTTCATTCTCCCTTTGACTTTCACCCAAAACCTTTGACTGAATATATATAATATATATAATATATAGCCCATAAAAATCCTATAAAAGCTTCGTTGTCTCTCTTTTTCATCAATGAATTTGTAAAATAGCATTTTGTACACTAGCTACGTATAAAAAAAATACTATTTTTTCGACCGACTAATGTCAAAAGACAAGACAGAAAAGGCTCTCAAAAATATAAGGTGGCGTATACGTTGAATTGGTCGCAAAGCTGCAGCTCGATCTCATCCCTTATATCATCAGACTTCTCAAAACTTTGAGATTGTCGCGCACACGTGAACGAATTGGCTCCGGCATGGTATATAGTTCGTTCTCGGTCTGAAGGTGGCGACTCCAAGCGGAGACGACAGCGTGAAGGACGGCGTCAAGGAGGGGGAGGAGGAGGAGAGAGACTTCCATGCATGGCTCAACTACCGGCCGCCGTCTCTGCCGCTTGAGGCCTCCCTTGCTTCCAGCCCTTCGGCGTCGTCGTTCGGGAGAGAGCAAGAGATGTCCGTGATGGTTTCCGCCCTGCGCCGCGTCGTGTCCGGAGAAGTATCGTCAGGTGATGATCAGCAACAGCGGTTTGATTTGAGGGAAGGGTATTGCGGCAGCGGCGGTTCGGCTTCGTTGCTTGGTCGGTCCAGCTCTTTGGATTTTGCCGGCTTCGGGCTGAAGAGAGGAAGGGGAGATTCGACCTCATCGTCCGAGTTCTTGGTATCTCAGGTTTCGGAAGTTCATGGCGATTTTGCGCAGGCAGGCTCGTCGACATCTTCTGGCGCCAGAGGTAAGCTCATTAATGGAATCACAAGTTAGCTCGCCTGTGATATTTAGATCAGAACATAATCTCTCAACCTTCACCAGCTCTCTATGCTAAAAACTAGAGAGGAACTGTTCTTAACTTCATTTCGAAAAAGTTCTGTTTGGAATTTCGGCGGCGCCCAAAATTCATGAACAACGAATAGTACGATTCAATTTCAATATGACATTCTCGTTCATACCTCATGATTCGTACAGCTCGAAAGACGAAAGTGGATTTGATACGAATTCGCAGCAGCGTAAAGTTTTGTTTCCATGGACGGTGCAAGCATATGAAATAAAGATTTCACCACTGAACATGAAATTATGAAATTGTCAAGCTAAGCTGCAATTCCATAGGAAGTAACGCATCTACTCTTCATCTTCTTCTTTTGGTTACAGAAGGTCATTCAGGCTCAACAACTGTTCAGACAGCAAAAGCAGATGAACCAACACATGGTACTCCTCCAACATACGAATACACCTACGAGGCCCCAAGACAGACAGCATTGAGATTGGACCCAACTCCAAGGAGAAAATACCGAGGAGTGAGACAGAGGCCGTGGGGGAAGTGGGCCGCCGAGATACGAGACCCATTCAAGGCCTCGAGGGTGTGGCTCGGCACGTTCGACACGGCCGAGGCTGCTGCTCGGGCCTACGACGAGGCCGCCCTCCGGTTCAGAGCCAACAAGGCCAAGCTGAACTTCCCCGAGAACGTCCGGCTCCGGCAACAACCGGCTCCCGTGGCCACTGCGGCCAATCCATCGGCTACCCACTTTGCCGTTTCCCGCGAGTTGCCGGCTCCCGACAATTCCAACGCCATTGACTACGACGGGCAGACTCCTGTGCAGCAGTTTTTTGAAAATAATTTTCACGAATATCACAGCGATGTTGTGGTTCAACAAGAAAGAGCGCAGGGACGACCCCTGAGTTTGTATGAGCAGATGGTGTGGTCCAACTCGTTGTTGGGGAATCAGTTTCAGCCATCTTTCTCGCTCTCTCCTTCTCCTTCATCATCAGCATCAAGTTCGGTGCTCGCACCGGCGCCAAACTCTCCTCTTTTCGCTTCTTCTCGGCCGATTATGAGCTCGAGGCCCCAAGAGGGCCAGACAGGTGGCGGAGCAGCCGTCTTTTCTCTGCCTCCATGGACAGATTCTAGCCATCGCAGTTCTTCTTCCGGATAGGATTCTCCGTCCTCGTTTCTTCTTCCTCCTTCTCTAATTACAGTTGTATTCAGTTCCATTTTGCCGTTGTACGTGGCCATATTTACATCTTGATTAGCACAGACATGTCGACACCATTGAAAAGAATGACAGAAGCAGAGAGATTTTCATCCTCATCCGACACCACACGAGGTAGGAACGCGAACCGTTTCCAAAGCCTTTGCTTCAGAGGCTGTTCTTTACGCATCGCTCGTCTCACTAGCAATAACACGTGGGAAAGAGAAGCCGAATTGAAAGCGTTAGAAGCACACGTGACGCGTTCTGGGCTCTCGCGGATTTCAAACTTTGTAAAATGTCAGAGGGATTGAACGGCGGTGGAATCAAACTTGCATGGTCAAAAGAAGAAGGGGGGGGTTGCCTCTCGAAATGTCAAACATGTTGCTCAAGCTTTTGGATAATGCACCGTCATGCACCGTTTAGCTCGTTGAATTGTATGGGAGGAGGAGGAACATTACTACTAATTGATTGAAAAAAAAAAGGAAAAGTAAAAGGAGCCGTTATTTTAATAGTGGAATAACCAAAGAAAAATATATGGAGAGAAGAGAAAAGTGAGGCGATGCTGACCTGGTCAAAGGTTGATAGATGGCCTCAAAAACAAAAAGGACAAAAAAAAATAAAGAATAATAAGAAAAGGGTTGCGACAAAAGATTAAAAATAAATAAACGAGATATCACCGAGAGAAATACAGAGCAAAGAGGATTGAGAGAACGTCCATATGCGAAAGATTAGAAACAAGGGGAAGAAAAGAAACCGCGGAAGGAGAAGTTGATTCCCGCACGACTTCGACAAGCCGAATTAACTCCGTTTCCTAGCGATTGACGAAGATTTGAGCCCTTTGTTCGTCTAATTGGAGTAATTTCCAAAGTTACGGCGTAAATTCGAGGCTACATGAATTATGAGTTGCGAAGTCCGATTTTAGAGTTTTTAAGCCGAGAAATTATATGCAAATGATAATTTAGGGTGTTGTGAAGCCGTGGGGATCCAGCGAAAATCGATTTCGGATTACGATTTGATTGGAATGAATTTTAAAGTTCTTCGCTTAAGGCCCGCGTCTTGAATAGCTTCGAATAAGCACTTTGGGCAAGTGTTTTGTTTACGCGTGGAAGTCATTTTCTCGACAAATAAATTTAGCTTAGTCGATTCGTAGTTAAGATATTGTTTCTCGCTTATTTGATAGGATTGTAAGTTCGTAGGCTTGAGATAACTTCGTGGTTTGGTTTAGGCCTTATATGGTGAGAGGTGCATGCTTATCTTTTCTTTAAATTTATAACTCGTGCCTTGAAAGTGATAGGTATATTATCAGTTATTAAAAGCATGTTTGTTATATAAAGTCCGGATGAGTATTTATTACTTTTCGGTTATTTGTGAATAGTTTGAGAAACATTTATGAAATCATTACAAAATGTTAAACATATTGATTTATGAATTTGGTTTATAAAGAATTCTGAAATTGTTCGAGAAATACCTTGCGAAATGTGTTATATTTGATGAACAGAGTTGTGAAAGAATATATGTTTTGATCTGTAAATGTATCCTAATTATGAGATGGATCTAGATTTGGTTTCGTGGATTATTGGAGGATGATGGTTTGATGCTCAATATCAATGTGAACTCAGTTGACGCTTTCTGGGTATGCATACTTATTTGAGGATATCCTTTTAGGCCGAGCCACTAGCGGTGCGTATAGTAACATTTCTGGTTCCGGGAACAATTTTTGAGTTTTTTCTATTTTAATTCCCTAAACGAGTTTCTGAGTAGAAAAAAGCATTTGCTAACTGCATAAAATTTCTATTCCCGAGATAGAAAAAGAATAGTATTGCGTTTTGTACGACCCTAAAAATTTCTATTCCCAATTTTTTTCGTTTAATTATAAAAATGTTAGTGAAGACTTAACAATTCATATTTGGATAAAACTAGACTTTTGTAAGGATTTAACTGATCAAGATATTCTAAGATGGCCTCAGAAAATCCAACGTAAAAGTTAGTCAAAGATGGATGGTTCTAAATGGCAATAGAGAATTCCATTGGTTTATAACTCACAATATGAGGAGCGTGACAACAAATCTTTAGACATTACAATAAATAGGTGCATAAATCATTTGAGCTTTAGGGTGTTGGGTTTAGAGTTTAGGGTATAGAGTGTAGGATTTGTAATATAAGGTTTCAAGTTTACGATTTAGGTTACGCTGAGATTATTTCTCAAAAGTGACCTTGTTTCTCTTTTTATTTCCGGGACTTCTTGTTTCTATTCTAAATCTATTCCCTGCCCACTAATATATTCCGAGGAATAGACAAATTAATTGACGTACACAAATAGAATTTTGTTCTTTTTCTATTTCGAGGAACAAAAAACAGAAAAACAAAGAAACAAAATTTTATTAAACATGCCCTAGCTGAAGGTGGAGACATTGCCAAGGAGAAATCTTCGTCGCCTTGTTGTCGGGCATTGTGTCATGACCATGGTTTGATATTTGAGCATAAAATTGATCAATAAAATGGATCACTGATGTATCATATAAGATTAATTAATGGATTGGATCATTCATGCGTGATTCGATGTTGTTGATTTAAATGAGTATATCTAATAACTTTTGGTACCGTGCATTTGTTATGTGCTGGATTTGAGAATAATGAGTTTCTAGTATTATTTTGTAAATATGCATAGTAGGTGCTCAATCTATTAAAAGAGGTTTGTACCACTCACTGAGCTATAGTTGCTCATTTTATTCATTCCAAAATATTTTCCAGGTTCTTCAATTAACGACAAGTGAAACGAAAGCGTTATTGATCGGAGTTTTGGTAGTTTAATGCTGGGTATGGTATGAGGCAATTGATATATGTCTGTTGATAGTTGTCGGGGTTATATATAGTAGATAAACTCAATATCCAAATCGATATGTATTACTACCAAAAAATCATTTTTTTTCCCATTGTATTCCCTATTTTGATCAATCACAGATCATGGATCGTGGCCAAGGATCGATCACGGATCATGGATTGTGGCAGAGGATCATGGATCCTGGCATAATTATTAGCTCTATTAGGATTAGTAACTGTTTTCTAGGATTTTTAAAGTTGCCCTCCTTGCTATGTTAAAACTCTTGTGATCACCTATAAAATCTGCGAGAGCTAAGAGTAAGTCTTTATGTGATCTGACGATTTTCAACTACGATTACAATTTATTATCCATTCCATAATTTAAGAAAATTATTGTTTATTGCAAGATATAATGACGGATTGTGAGTACCCAATGGGAACCCGAGCGGGTTTGGGATACTTTATCAAAACTGATAACAAGTTCGGGATGAGCCTGTGGAGTAGCCGAAAATGGGATGGGATTGGGACGACGTTGGCCGTCCCAAACCCATCTTGCTTCCATCCCGATGTTAGTGCGGTCCGAGTTTGCGGTATTTCCGGTTCGGGTGAGTTCGATTTGGGTCGGATCGAGAAGTGAGATGGATCGGGTTGGCCTCGTGACTGGACCATAGAGGCTATTGGACACGCAACCATGCAAAATTAGCCCAACTGTTGTGCTTGCTTGCTTGTCTGAATGCCGCCCCCTCGGCATGTGTTTCGATGGGAATCAGTGGCTTTTCCACATGTCTGATGTGATTTCAATGGAGGGAATTCCTGAGTCGCGCACGTCCTTTTTGACCATGTCTGGTGTGATTGTTGTGGGTTAGTGTCTCGTTCACGTGAAAATTGGACTGTGGTGTGGCTTTTCTTGGATCCATGATGATGCATTCAAAGGCTTGTTTATCAAAGAACGTTCGCGGTGGCCGCCTCAGAGCTTTCGCCTTCACCGGGCTGGAGAGCTAGTGCTGCTTCAATCCTTCCTTGGATGTCTGAGATCTCTTCATGTGAATAACTTTCTGATCTAATGTCATCATTCTTAGATGCTCGCATATCATCAATTATGGATAAGTAACGCAGATTATAACTTCATCTGCTGCTTCAAGTGTGCCTGAAAAGGGAAATTTTGAAAATTGTTGGTAGGATATATTGAGTGCTCGAGTAGTGCCATATAGGATATGCCCAAGTATAGACGCTGACCCCATCTTCAGAAACTTCAAATTCCTTGGGCGTCGAACATCTCGGATCCCCATCATCCATGAAACGGGCTGGTGCTAAGGGTGAGGAACTTTATTCTTTGCGCCTGTGGTGTGCCCATGGAGCTGCATGGCTTGATCTTGTTTGTGTTTGATGCAATTGCCAGTTTTCTCAGTTAGAGCAGAAACTTATTTCACATTATTCAAGAATTTCCCCTAGTTAAGCTCTCACGCTTTTTCTCATATCATTATTTTCGATTCCTGGGTTCAATTCTTTGTGATGTTGAGCTGTAAACATGTATTCTAATTGCTTCAGCTACAAGATTTAAGTCATGTCTGCAGTGCTTTCTTTCACGATTCCGATATTACTCATCTTTGAAAGAAGAATTTTTGTTTAGCAGAACTGCACTCTATGCCACAATTTTTGGGAAGGAAACACCATCTCTTGATCAAACAGTAACAGTTCTACTGCAAAACCCCCGCAATGGTTTCCGCCTCTACACCGCATCAATTCCAGAGATTTATTGTCCGGTGATGATCAGCAACAACGGTTTGATCTGAGTGAAGGCTGTTGCAGTGGAGGCGGTTCGGCGTCGTTGCTTGGTCGGTCCAGCTCTTTGGATTCTCTCGGTGTCGGATGGATGAGAGGAATGAAGGGGAGATCCGACCTCGTCCGAGTTCTAGGCATCTCAGCTTTTGGAAGTTCTTGGCTGTTTTGCGCAGGCAGGCTCATCGTCATCTTCTGGTGCCGGAGGTAAGCTTAATTAATGGAATCACAAGTTACTCCCCCCTCTGATTTTTAGATCAGAACATAATTCAGGAGCTCCTACGCTAAAAATTAGTGAAGAACTGTTCTTAGCTTTCATCCTAAAAGAATAGTTGGAGTGATCTTTGGTAAAGAGATATTAATGTCACAGCAATCTGGAAGAGGAGCACAAGGGGACAATGTGGGGGAGCACGTCAAGAGATATAGGCTTTTTTAAATGCTCCTCCTCCTCACATCACATTCTTTATGATCATTCCTAGCTCTATGTATAGATGAGCTTAGCAGCCATTCTGGACTTCTTTTCCATCAGCCCACCGATCATGACTTTTTCAAGATTTCCTCCAGCCAACATAATTGACTGTCTTTGCTTTACAGCTGGAGACTTGCTACAAATCTTTATAAAATGGGTCAACAGTGCTACAATTATAAAAGATCCCACCGAAATTAGCAAGAGTTTTTGCTAGGATTACATTCTGAAGTTGTCAAGCTAAGCTGTAACTCCATGCGAAGTAACAAACCCGCTCTGGATCTTCTTCTATCGTTTACGGAAGGTCATGCAGGCTCAACAACTGTTCAGACAGCAAAAGCAGATCGACCAACAACACATCGTGCTGCTCCCACATACGAATTCACCCACGAGACCCCAGCAATGACCACGCTGAGATTGGATTCAGCTCCGAGAAGGAAATACAGAGGAGTGAGACACAGGCCGTGGGGGAAATGGGCGGCCGAGATAAGAGACCCGTCGAAGGCCTCGAGGGTGTGGCTCGGCACGTTCGACACGGCTGAGGCGGCGGCTCGGGCTTACGACGAGGCCGCCCTCCGGATCAGACGCAACAAGGCCAAGCTCAACTTCCCCGAGAACGTCCGGCTACCTCCACTGCCGCCTCCCACGGTCTCCGCGGCCGATCCCGCAGAGACCCGCCTCGCCGTTTCCCGTGAGTTGCCGGATTCGGGCAATTCCGACGCCATCGACCGCGACGGGGAGACTCCTGTGCAGCGGTTTCTTGGAAAGAATCTCAAGGAATATCACGGTGATGTTCTTCTTCTTCAAGAACGAGCGCAGAGACGACCCGTGAGTCTGGATGAGCAGAAGGCCCGGTCCGACTCGTCGTTGGGGACGCAGTTTCAGTCATCTTTCTCGCCCTCCTCCTCCTCTTCTGCTTCATCATCATCATCATCATCATCAAGTTCAGTGCTTGCACAAGCTCCAGACTCTGCTCTTTTCGTGTCTTCTCGACCAAACGTGAATTTGAGGTTACAAGTGGGTCAGATAGGTGGTGGAGCAGCTGATGAGCTTTCTCTGCCTCCATGGACAGATTCTAGCCATCGCAGTTCTTCTTCTGGATAGGATTTTTCATGTCTTTTTTTCCTTCTCTTTTGTTAATTGCAGTTGTATTCAGTTCCCTTTTGCTGTTGTATGTGGATTAGCTCAGACATACTGACAAAATTGAAAAAAATGATAGAAGCAGATTTTCAATGGAGATTGGGAAAGTAAGAGAGATTTTGAAGACCACAGCTACAGAAATATTGAAAAGCAAATTCATGGGGTATAATATATTTTTTAAATGGAATGACAAGATCCTGGAATATTGAACTTGGAAATTTGTTGTATAGTTCTTTTTTATGGCATTAAAAATGTAGACTTTCGATTGGAGATTTAGGATGCATAAATTTCAAATTAGTAGCTCTTTTTGTGAATTTGAGGTTATTTATTGTATATTTAACATAAAATTATTGTTCACTACAAAATACTAACCCGACAACGTTAGTGATGCGAGTTTTGGGGACCGTATCAAAACCCATAATACGTTTGGGGCGGGTTTGGAGAGTAATTGAAAGTTAATGGGATGGGACTCGGGGCAACGCCGGCCGTCTTAAACCCGGCTTGGTCCGAGCTTGCGGTGTTCACGGTTCGGTTCGGCCGGGTAAGCTCGATTCGGGTCGATCGGATTGGCCTCGTGGCGGGACCGCAAAGGCTATTTGGGCCCACTAAAATGCAAAATCTGCCCAATAAGACGCCAAGAAAACAAAAGAAAATCCCTGGACACTTTCTCTAAAAATTTCAGAGCATACACCCCTTCAAGAAAGGAAAGGTAAACCCTAGCGAGCTCTTCTCCCTTTACATCTAGCCCACCCATTCTCTGCTCGGCCGTTGTTCGCTACTGTTGCTTGGTGTCGGTTCCTCGATGAATTGATCTTCGTGGTTGCTTGCTTGCTTGCTTGTCGAATGCCGTGCTTCCGGCGTGTGTGTTTCGATGTGGATTGGGGCCTTTGGGCATGTCTGATGTGATTTCAATGGAGGGAGTTCTTGATGGTTTTGGGGACTGCACGTCTGAAATCGCCAAGCTAAGCTGTAAGCTATAATTCCACGCGAAGCAACACATCCGCTCTGGATCTTCTTCTTTCGGTCACAGAAGGTCATCCAGGCTCGACAACTGTTCAGACAGCAAAAGCAGATCAACCAACATCGCATCGTGGTCCTCCCACGTACGGATACGCCCACGAGAACCCAGCAATGACCACATCGAGATCGGACCCAACTCCGACAAGAAGATACGGAGGAGTGAGACAGAGGTCGTCGGGGAAATGGGTGGCCGAGATAAGAGACCCGTCGAAGGCCTCGAGGTCGAGGGCGTGGCTCGGCACGTTCGACACGGCGGAGGCGGCGGCACGGGCTTACGACGAGGCCGCCCTCCGGATCAGGCGTCATCCAGGCTCGACAACTGTTCGGACAGCAAAAGCAGATCAACCAACATCGCATCGTGCTGCTCCCACGTACGAATACGCCCACGAGAACCCAGCAATGACCACGTCGAGATCGGACGCAACTCCGACAAGAAGATACAGAGGAGTGAGACAGAGGTCGTCGGGGAAATGGGTGGCCGAGATAAGAGACCCGTCGAAGGCCTCGAGGTCGAGGGCGTGGCTCGGCACGTTCGACACGGCGGAGGCGGCGGCTCGGGCTTACGACGAGGCCGCCTTCCGGATCAGCCGCGACAAGGCCAGCCTCAACTTCCCCGGGAACGTCCGGCTGCCGCCACAACCGCCTCCCGCGGCTTCCGCGGCCGATCCCGCGGCGACCCGCTTCGCCGTTTCCCGTGAGCTGCCGGATTCCGGCGATTCCAACGCCGTCGACCGCGACGGGCAGACTACCGTGCAGCGGTTCCTTGAGAAGAATTTTAATGAATTTCACAGTGATGTTCTTCTTCTTCAAGAACCAGCGCAGACACGAGTCGGTGGAGCAGCTGAGTTTTCTCTGCCGACAGATTCTAGCCATCACAGTTCTTCTGGATAGGATCTTTCGTGTCTTTTTTTCTTCTCTTTTGTTAATTGCAGTTGTCTTTAGCTCCCTCTTGCTGTTGCGTGTGGCCATTTTACGGTTTGATCATCACTAGACTTGTTAAACGGTCGGTTCGAGTCATAAATGGTTCAGCCCAATGTAACTCATTAATCCGTTTATGATCTTTTTATCTGTAATGTAAGTTTCTTGACCCATATCCAACTCGATCTATATTGCTAAAATATTTCCATATTTAATCTAATATAGTAAAACTTGCTTCTTGTGATTTTTTTCAAAAATTATATTGTTAAAATACTTCCATGCAATACAAATTTGGTGGACAATGTTTATAAATTTATAAAAAGTTAAATATTTTTATATTTATTTTCTTTTTCTTTTTCTTTATTTTCTTATGTCAAGTATTGCCTGCCAATCCTCGCGGACCTCAGGCAAGGGCCACGAGCGAGTGTTTCGGCCTTTGCTTAGATCTGGTGAGAGCCACGAAGCCCTCCGGATTTCGTAGGAAAAAATAAATAAATAAATAAAAATTATAAAATAATTCAAAAAAATAAAAATTAAGAATAATTTGTGTATGATTTACTTAACTTATTAGGTAATTCATTTAAGACCCATTAATTTGTTAGGTAACTTATTTATGACCACTTAAGCTTGTTTTAAAAAAGGATATGTGTACTGAAAGTCATAAAATTAAAGTGTAATTGAGTCCTAAAACTTGCAAAAAGTGCTAAAACTTGTCAAATTGGTACAATCAAGTCCTTCCATTGTGATTTTTTTTTAAATACTTTCTCTCGTCTATATAGAGAGTACCATATCCTAGTAGTATGCTATGCATTCGCCTCTATGATGATCTTGTGCATCAAAAACTGAGGCCAGAAGGTCTTATGTTTGGAATGAGGGTTTAGCTGGATGCTAAAAGTCAATCCTGTCAGGATAAGGCTTTAGTGAGGCATCACAAGGGAGGATTGAATACATGCATTTGCTACGTTCTTGTTATGAACATAGACCCCTCTCATGGTATCAGACCCAAGGATTACGTGCTATAATATCCTTCTAAGATTTCTAATACCAGATAGAAATTTGGTCCAAATTTGATTTTTAATACTATTTTTATTTAAATTAAATGTGAAAATAAGCTAAATTTAAAAAAGAAAAGAAAAGGATTGAGACCAGGTGACGAGGACCCTTTGCCCTGGGCGAGGGCCTGGGTCGGCCGCCAGTGGCGGCCCTCGGCCAGACCTGGGCAAGGGGCTCTCGCCTTCGGTCGGCGATAGTGGGGCGGCTGCGGCAAGGGCAGTGCATGCCCTTGCAACCTAATCTCAACATTTTTTCCCTTTTCTTTAAGCTTATTTCTAAATTTATTTTAAATAAAATTTGTATTAAAAATTAGATTATGATCAAAACGACGTCATTTTAGCTTTATATTTTATGTTTTAGCCACGTCATCGCCACGTAATATAGAGAAAATAATAATAATGAAAAATTCACGTCAGCATTTTCCGTTAGTCAAGTTAGACAAAGTTAATGGAAGGACTCGATTGCAACAATTTAACAAGTTTTAGAACTTAATTGCACTTTTTGCAAATTTTAGGACTCAATTGCACTTTTATGACAAATTTTAGGACTTCTAGTGCACATATCTTTTTTTAAAACTTAAGGCAATCCGTTTATGATTCACACCATTAAATATGAGTTAAAAAATAGATCTAGACCAATTTTGACAAAATTGAAAGGAATGATAGAACCAGAGAGATTTTCATTTTGTGAGGATTTGGCAACTGGAGCTTGGGAGAAGTAGAAGAGATTTTGAACACCACAGCTCCAGAAATATTGCAAAGCACATTTACGGGGTATTATAATTTTATCTTGGAATGACAAGATCATGAAATATTCAATTTGGAAATTTATCTTCGACCAAAAAAAAAAGAACTTAGAAATTTATTGTGTAGTTTTATTTAATGGCATTAAAAATGTTCTCTTATAAAACTCTCAGCCAAATAAAAAAGAATGCGTGGATTACGTATAGGACAAAAATATTCGCGCTTTTCAAATGATTCGGAAAAAAAAAATGTATGAAGTTTTTGCTTAAGGGGTTAAAAAAACACACCGTTAAGTTCTCCATTTCTACGAACTGAATCATCGATTTGGAACACTAACTTTCGGTTCGGGGGAGAAAGAACTCGGCTCACTAACCCGAGCTCTTTCCATTTGGAGCTGCTAATCTTTTTTCTTTCTATTTCCTCGTTGAAATAGACGAGTCCTTGATTGACAAATCTACGAGCGCGAAAAATGTTTTGCGATCTTGGATTTTTACGATTCTTATTTGAGACTCCATAAATTTCTAATTACATATTTACACCGCACAAATTTCAAATAAACATTTCTTTTTGTGAATTTGAGGTTATTTATTATTATATATAACACAAAATTATTGTTTATTACAAAATACTATGATGGGAAAATACCGATTACGTTAGTGAGGCGAGTTTTTGGGGTACCGTATCAAACCATCTTAAACCCATCTTGCGTCCATCCCTATGTCGGTCGGTGCGGTCCGAGTTCGCGGGGTTTGCGGTTCGGCCCGGAAAGTCCGGTTCGGGTCGATCGGATTGGGCCCCTCGTGGCCGGACCATAAAGGCATTTGGGCCCAGATTTTTTGGGCCGACGACAATGCAAAATCAGCCCAATAAGAACCCCAAGAAAACAAAAGGAAATCCCTGGACACTTCCTCTAAAATTTCAGAGCATAAACCCGTTCAAGGAAAGGAAAGATAAACCCTAGCGAGCTCTTCTTCCTTTACATATACCCCGTCCATCCTCTGCTCCGCCGACTCATTCAGCACTTCACCAAGCTTCCCCTGTTTTCCTCTCTCTCTCTCTCTCTCTCTCTGGAATCTGCAATTCCAGAACGTGGGTGTTGTTTTCTTCTGCTGCTTGTGTTGGTTTTCGATGAAGTGATCTTCGCTGTGCTTGCTTGCTTGTTGAATGCCGTGCTTTGGGCGTGTGTTTCGATGGGAATTTGGGCTTTTGAGCATGTCTGAGGTGATTTCAATCGAGGGTGTTCTTGGTAGTTTCTTGGGACTGCGCGCCTGCCCCTCAAGCATCGATCTTGATTGTTTTGAGGGGTGAACATGTACCCAGCAATGGTTTTTTCGTGTGCGCGGAGATGTGTGGGCTTGTGGAT